CATCATTTTGAGTTTCAAATTTATTCAGAGTTTAACAGAATTTGATCGTCGCATTTAGGTAATTATATTTCTCAAATAAAAACTGAAGCCATATTTTACCATAACATGGTATTTTATGGTCCAATGATTTCCTTTCCCAAGCCATAAAAGCCCATATTGTCTGGCAGAATACTTATTCCTTCTGAAACCATAAAGTACCATATTTTGTGGTCCTGAGGTTATGATAAAATAAACGTGTATTCCCCAAACCATATTTTACCATAACATGGTATTTTATGGACCAACGATTTCCTTCACCAAGCCATAAAAACCCATATTATCTGGCTGAGTACTTATTCCTTCTGAAACCATAAAGTACCATATCTTTAATTATTACTGTAGCCATATGCCATAAGATAAATGCCCTACGTTCTGCACAATCTGAACACATAAAATACCATATAATTGATTTTAGACTGGAAACACCCCAAGCCATACAAAACCATATTTTTGGGGGTAAAATTTTTTTGGACCCCCCAAATTCAAATTCTCAAGTAGCATAGTTACTTGATAAACCATGACTTACTCTTTTAGGCAAGTTCACTTTTATCTCTGGTTTCATGATTTATTAACAAAATTCACAGCTGTCATGTTTATCGTAATTAGCATATTTTTGTAACCCTCCTCTAATCATACAATTTAATTTATGTGTCTGAATTTCATGAAATGAGAAGACAATATTCTATTCTAAATGGAAAACCAAGTTTAATGTCAATTTGATTACTTAAAAGGCAGTACTTGACAATTGAAATTGGTTGAAATTACACAAAAAGTCTTGGCTAGTTAGTGTGAAATGTACGCTGGGAAAATAGGTGTCCATTTTTCACATGATATTTTATGGCGTCGGTAAGAAGAGGGTTAACCTTTTCACCACCACTTCCCTCTTTTCATCACAAATTCACAAAATCGTCCCATTTATAGTCTGCACCTTCCTTCAGAAGATTGTGACAAAAATAGTTGAAATTTTTTGAGTAAAACCTGTTAATTGACTCATATTTTGCTTGTAGATCCAAAATTAGGGTTCATGTCATCAAATACTGAAGAATATCAGAAAAAAAATACAGAAAAATTTGGGCGAGAAAGGTAAAGTTAGCAAAACATAAATTGTGCCCATTTGATACAAAATTAACAGGCGACATAGAAAAATACATGCACCTAAGATCTGGAGCAAAAAATTACAGCACTCGCAGCGTTCAGTACGCAAGCTTTCAATATTAGCATTTTTAATACTTACTTGTAAGAATGGATCACTGACACCAGACACATCATGTTCCGGTGAATAACCAGACATTATGAGATTCTTCAATATTCTCACTAAATTGGGCACCAGCTGAAATAAAATATTAACCACATCATAGTATGAGACAAGTACTACAAATTTACAGTTATTATAATATAATTGAGAAAAAAAAAGGATGGATATATTTTTCTAGATACCAACTATCAGAAAACAAATACTCAACATAAAGCTCTCTCTCCCTCCCTCCCTCTCTCTCTCCCTCCCTCCCTC